CCGGTCAGCAAGTGGTTAAGATTTATTTTTCTTTCATATAGGGCTGAACTTACAAAATGTCTGCTGCTGGGAGATGAGTGACTAAATCCTCCCCTGGGCACCAGTCTGTATTGTAACAGTATTTGTGATGCACCAGTCCCTCTGCCCTTTCATAACCTCTCTACATATAGTATAATGCATACACTTTATTGAGATAAAGTCTGTACTATATACATATGAGTCTATTGACTAAACTGTTAGAAGGTTGAGGGATAAATATTACACCACTGGAACATACTATATACTAGCACTTAGGGAGTTAGAATCACAAGACTAACAGAACTGGGTAGCAGGGCAGAGAATAATATATACATTAGGGGAGACATACAAATATCTGTTACACTAAGTGCAGAGCTCATGCTGCATGGTGACTGGAGCCATATATACTTGCAGTACTGTGTGCACAGAGCTCATGGTGACTGGATGTGATTGGGAGGTGAATGAATACAGAATATATTCATAAAACTTGAATCATTCACCTTACTTCCACCATTCTAATGCTATTTGATAAGACAATGTGTTACCTTAAATCCAGGAGAATGGAGGATTGTGAGAACAGATAGAGAGAGCTTTCAGCCCATGCAGCTGAGACCAGAATCAGGAAGTGAAACTTCACCCTCTATCTCAAGCTAAGCCGAGCTCCACCCACAGACCTGCTATTCTCTGTCTGGAATCTATGCTGCTCATGTACTTTGGTGCATGAGAGTGCACCCAGGGTTGATTTTACATTTTAAAGAGATTGTCTGAAGGCACAGAAATTTGATCAACACACACACAGACACACACACTTTTACATGTACTGTATGTAAGTGATGGGAGATGCATTTTTGATCTCTCTCTCTCTCTCATTTATATAGTCTGTGTGTCTGTCTATCTATCTATCATAACTTCCATCATTATACATCCCTCATATGAATGTGAGTGATGATGATGATTATTATACAGTTTTAATATAGCGAAAACAGTTTACGCAGCACTTTACAAAATGGGGAGACAGTACAGTTACAATACAATTTCAGTTTTTCAGTGCAATAGGGTTCCATCCATCCATCCGTACACGCACATGCACACACACACTGCAGAAAACGTTTCTGCCATGGTTGTGTCATTTCAGATATGTGAAACTGATGCCAATTTCAAAACTTTAAAAATAAGAACATTGCAGGAAGTCTCTTTGACATGTATTCAGAAACTTTAGCTATTTTATAGCGATTTTTTTTCTTTTTTTTTAAACAGTACATTCCAAGTTAATTTTACAAACATTTCTGAAAAAATATATGTCTAAATGCCTTTTTTAGATGTTAAAAAATAACTGGAAAATGTAAAATATATTTCTCTTCCACATGGGACAGACCAGTCAGTCTAACATCAATAGTATGCAAATTGTTTGAAGGAATGATAAAGGACTATTTAGCAGATTTTGTTCATGACAAAGGTATAATAAGTGATAATCAACATGGATTTATGAAGGACCGTTCTTGTCAGACCAACCTACTAACATTTTACGAAGAGGTGAGTAGAGATCTGGATGAAGGGAGGCCGGTGGATGTGGTATATCTGAATTTTGCAAAAGCATTTAATGCAGTGCCACATAAACGCTTAATACACAAGCACAAGATCTATGGAACATGGATAAAGAAACATGGATAAAGAACTGGCTACAGGAACGTGTCCAGAGAGTATTGATAAATGTCTCTTTTTCACAATGGGCTACAGTAGTGAGTGGCATGCCCAGGGTTCTGTGCTAGGCCCCATACTGTTTAACCTGTTTATTAATGATATTGGGGAAGGTGTTAATAGCAATGTATCTGTGTTTGCAGATGATACTAAAATTGGGAGAGTAGTAGACACAGGATTAGACATTATAACATTACAGGAGGACCTGAATAAAATAGGGTTGTGGGCAACTATGTGGCAGATGAGGTTTAATGTTGGAAAATGTAAAGTAATGCATTTTGGGGTTAAAAACAGGCAAGCGGAATA